ATAAGTCTACTTGGGGAGTATGCAACCCACCTACCGTTACGATCCTCAAAATTACCTACTTTTACCGGGATAATATTCGGGACTCTAATGAATTAGTTCTATGTCGCTCAGTCGCTATTTGACAGGCTGCGGAGTGCGCTAATGTATGACGTTTTTTACAAAGCAAACCGTGTAACATTACGATCCTTAAAATTGCTTAATTTTACCGGGATAGTAGTCTGGTGTATAGGGACGTTAATGCATTAGTTCTATGTCGTTCAATCGCTATTTGATCTTTAAATGGCAACATGATCTCTCTTTCTTGAGGGTTATTTCTATTAATGTATTCATAACTGTTCATATAACTAATCATGGTACACGAATTTACAGGTTTTCTATCATTTTGGTATGGAAATTATAAAAATAGTAACTTTTATGTGTACGACTACCATAAGTTCTAATAATTGCTAATTAACCTCTTTGGTTAACAGGTTATAAGATGTTATTACATTTTTATTCCATATGACGTATGTATATTGACCAATCACTTCAGTGTTCCCCTTTGCCTTCTTCAGTTACAGGTTGTCACGAAAACGAATTTTAAAAACTGTTACAAATTGTTACTACTTTTGTTTCTGTAGTATTCAGGTTTTGTAATAAAAAAAAAACGATACGATTTATATACGAGCAAAACGCATTCAGAATACAAAACATACGAAAATTATAAAATAATTATATACCTACAATAAAATTTTGATTAACTATTTTAGTTTTTTTATTACAAAACCTGAATACTACGGAGACAAAATATTAGAAATAATTATTTACAATTTTCACTTATAAATTTATGAAGAAAATAATTAAAAATTTTTTAAGCCAAATTATAACTCTGACGTTACTAAATCGAATCAATCATTGTAAATTACGCAAATCTTACATCGAATATGAATTAAACAATTTTAAGCCTTTAAAAATGTTTTTTTTAATTATCATAATTTAAAAAATGTTTTTCTCCTTGAACTTACTTCAGGTCCATTATCGGACTAGGAGGGATCGGTAGTACAATGAATGAAGTTTTTTTTTTAAGAAAAACAAAAACAAAAAAAGTGTCGTATTGACCGATTTTTTAATTTAAAAATGTTTTGTCCCTAATGATGGGCATAAAAAAACCCAAAAAATGTGAAAAAATATAGGTGTATTCTACTCGGCAAGTGTTATCATATACAACCAATAATTTTTTTTCTAACATTTGCAAAAAGTAGACATCAAAGTTAAAGTTCTCAAGAAACATACCAAACTTTGGACCTTCACCAAACATCACCTTTTGACCCTAGGGGTCCAAAATTTTGGGAATCGTATTTTCTTTAGAAAAGCTACCTCTACACAAATTTTGGGCCAAATCTAAAATTTTGTTGTCCGACTTGACATGGAATGTCCCATATCTTTTCATATTTCTCACAGTAATGCACTATATACTAAGTGCGGCCCTGACTTTTATGGTTTAGTGCTATCTCTGTTAGGAATACCATCATCACTATGGATGAATTCTGAAATCCCATCTGACCGCGCGTGAAACTGCATTTAACTATCCAGCGCTCCCGCAAGAGATCGGAGTAATACTGCGTAGACTCGGGTCCCGGCACATGGGCAGGATCGGTCAGTGGCGTAGGTACGCAGGGGCAAGAAATACACGCGTATATAATGTACAAAGCGCTTAAAAAAATACAGTTTATACTTTCATTATCATAGAGTTTTATAGGGCCGAGCCATGCGTTGCAGCACACATTTCCGGACCTAAATCATCACAATAACTGGCCTGATTCTGCTGTGTTTCTGCGGGTACTTTAAATGAGTGTATGTACATCTTACTTGGTAACTTACACATTTGCCGGAGTGTTTGGTATCTATGACGTACCCCTTGAGACACGCGTCCTGCATCATGTGGCACCAAGTGTGATAGGTGCTGTTGTTGGTGCCGCAGATGGGGCCGTGCATGTGTCGGGGGCGACAGCTCACGCTGCAGCTCACGCACCGCGGCAGGCCGGTCTCGAGGTCCTTCAGGCACGACTGTCTGTCTCGGCACCGCACCTTGCTGCAGGTGGCGTCCGCTGAAAAACATAAAATCGGCATGCAGCCAGAGGCGGAGATTTAATGGGGGGACTCCGCCTCCGAGATTTCGAAAAATCGTGATTGTTTTTAAGGGGTTACTCCCAGTTGGGTTGGTCCAAAGAATCGAGTTTTTTTGGTACAACTTTTTTTAGTACTTTAAGCGCAACATCTCAACAGTATCTCCTCAAAATTTTATGGGAATCCGAGCGTCACTGAGAACCAGAATCGACCAGAAATGTTGTTGGTCCAGTCAAAATTGACAAAAAAGTGGTAACTTCGCAAATTATGCTTAAAGCTGAAGATTGGTACAGGTCTTAAATACACTATTACAAGTGAAATAGCAAAAAGTCCCCACCGATCCTACGTCTACTAAAAAATATTCAAGGTCAAAGGAAAAACTATCGTTTTTTCTAGGGCTCGGCATTAAACGTTTAATCGCCAAAACGTTTAAACGTTTATTTAAGAAACGCGTTTATTATCCCGTTTAATGATTAAACGTTTAAATTACAAAACGTTTAAACGTTTATTTTGCTTGTAAACGTTTTTTCCCCGTAAACGTTGTTTTCCTTGTAAACGTTTATTGTCCACAAACGTTTCTTTTGTTTTATTTTTATTTTTGCTCGTAACGTTTGTCTTTTCCTTTTCTTTCCTTTTCTTTTTCTTTTTCTTTTCTTTTCTTTTCTTTTCTTTTCTTTTCTTTTCTTTTCTTTTCTTTTCTTTTCTTTTCTTTTCTTTTCTTTTCTTTTCTCCTTTCATGTTTCTATCTAAAGGAACGCTTTTGCCTCCAGAACGTTTTTTTGAGGTTTTGCTGCATAAAAACTCGGAAAAGTGCCTTTCTTAAATATTTTATTCGTCAATAATGTGCGTATTATATGGCAAGCTCTATTTTGCTGACGACTGAATATCGGGCCCCTTTAGCGATATTTTTGTTTAAGATGTTTTTGATTGCGTCTAAACAGTCGAAAGAAACAATTCATATTTGAAGATATTACTGATAGTGGTACAGCCCAGAGGTGTCGAACAGCAGCCCCGCACGGAGTTACACCGAGGACCGGAGCCCGAGCACCGGGCGGGGCGGCCAGGCTATCGGGGTTCGCGATGGTAGCCGGTCGCTTTGTTTACGTTTCGAAGGGAGTGAGAGAGAACTGAAGTCGCGAGCGGTGCAGCAGAGCGCATTTGACTGACCGTTTGTCGGGTGGATAGGCAACAAACAGAAAAAACACTGAATTTTATGAAATAAATGAAAAGCGACTGCATACTGCAGACATCTTTTATGACTATACTGAAGTCGGTTTGTCGCACTCTTAGTGTAATGACATATTAAAAATGACATGAAGTTGCTAAGTTATCTCTAACCGTTTTCGAGTTATAAGCGATTAAAAATTCAAAAACGCATAATTTTTCCATCTCTAATGATATCTTGGTTGGTGAAAGTTGATGGGTTTGAGTCCGTTTGCGATTTTTATTTTGAAAAGACATTTTGCTTAAAAACGTATAATATCCGAAAAAACGTTTAATGTTCCACAAGCGTTTAAACGTTTAATGCATTATAAACGTTTAATGTCTCATAAACGTTTAAACGTATTAGTCAGAAAAACGTTTAATCGGAAAACGTTTAATCGGTGACGGTCTTAAACGGTTAATCGTAAACGTTTTAATCGTAAATTGGTTAATCGTCCAAAATGCCGAGCCCTAGTTTTTTCGCATGTTCCTCGTAAACGGTAGGTCAGTGTTATCGTAAAAATAGGTCAGACAAAAGTTGTAGATCATGTAATTCTCTACAAATTGTTTTTACGAGGTGAGGCTATTAAATAACCGAATTGCTGTCATAACACTTTTTATTCGTTACCAATTATAGTATAGCAATTTTTTTGTCTTCAATGTCTTCCCTTGGCGATCTCTACACCGCTCCATACGACTTTTCCATTGTTCAATGCAGTGCTGGAAGTCCGCTTCTGTCAGCTGGTTCAGAACCTCCGTCGTATTGTCCCCTTCAGCGCCGATTTGACCTTGGGAAATAAAAAGTCACAGGGGGCAAGGTCGGGCGAGTATGGTGGATGTTCCAACACAGTAATGCTGTATTTTGCAAAAAACGCCTTCACAGACAAAGCAGCATGGGCCGATGCATTGTGTTGGTGAATGTTCCATGATTTGGTCTTCCACAAATCGAGTCCGTCTTCCCACACGCTCACGAAGGGTCGTCAGAACCTCGATGTAACAATATTGATTGACCGTCTCATCCTCAGGGACCCAGTGAGCGTAAACAATGCCTCGAATGTCAAAAAATACGAAGTAATCACCGTGTCTAACAAGCCTGGATCAGTGTCAATGTTGTTTAGAATGTCAGCGCAAATGTTCATCCTTGATTCCTTTTGCTCGGAAGTGAGGAGTTTTGGCACCATTTTTGCGCAGACTGCGCATGTTAAACGATTCATGCGAAATCTGGCGAACACATTCTTTGTCGATTCATGTTATTTCAGCAAGCCCTTGGATGCTTAAACGACGATCTTCGCGGATTAATTTACCAATCTTTTCAATGTTTTCCTCCGTTTTTGACGTTGAGGGTCGTCCGGGGCGCGGATCGCCTTCGGTCGTTTCACGTCCCTCTTTAAACCGTTTAAACCATTCAAAAACTTGGGTGCGGGATAAACATTAATTCCCGTACACTTCTTTTAACATTGCATAAGCTTCTGTAAAATTATTCCCCAGTTTAACAAGAAACTTGAGATTAACCCGTTGCTCCATCTGAACATTTTTTTGACGCGTCACTGGTGCGAAGACAAATTCAAACGATTGCTACAGTCAAACTGAGCGACCCACTGGCTTTTCCAACGAGATTAGGGTGGGGAAAGCATCACCAGACACAGATCTGTCGGTTTTGTCGGGACACGCTCGCAGCGCGCTGGTATTCAGCCGTGGCGATAGCTCAGTGGGTAAAGCGTCAGGTGAGAAGATGGCGATTACTCGGAGAGCTATTATCCGCGCGGGTTCGAATCCCGCCTGTGGCAAGTGGCACCTGTCACAGGGTTTGGTTGTGTGTCCTACGTCTTTTCCATGTGTAGTCTCCCTCTGCACAGTTGTAATGACTCTTAGAAGGAGAATGTCAATTTCTGTGGTGTGATATATTATTATTATTTAATAACCACACCTCGTACTTTTCCTACAAATCACCATTCTACCTACTACATCAGCAATTTTTAAAAGGGGCAAGTATTTAAATTGTTAGAAAAAAAGGAATGATTGAATTGATTGCTCAGAAGTATTTAAAAATAGTGACTTTCCTCTGCACAAGTCATCATCACAAAATGGGATTCGCTTTCTTGTTGCTATATATGGAGCTCCAAAAAAATTTATTGTATAGAAAAGTATAGACAATTAAGTTTTGTAAAAAAATACACGGAAAAATACAACAATACAACTATCTTGTCTTCCTCCAACATACTATCAAGTTCAAGTGTCAAGCTCAACCCAGAAGACTGGGGTTGGAAATTAATAGATAACAGTTTGAAGCCAAATCAAACTTTACTCCCACCTGCTCTAGAAAAACTTTTTAACACTATTTTTTTTGCATTGCCTTCCTGCAATGCAAAAACAAGTAATAATTGTGACTAAAAAAGTCGGTTTAAAAAAATTATTTTATTCACCAGTATGTACCAATGTCAAGGCCATTCTTGCTTCAATACTGAATCAAATACAACAAATGATGATTCTTATGATATCAATGAGGAGACGACTGTTGCATCTTTCCTCTTAGAACAAACTACAGAAAACTAGCAAATAAAAGCAAAAAGAGAGAGAAGAAAGCGAAGAAGACATTACTGTTCAAATAACATTTGAGGATTATCAGTAAGACTAAAAGTGCCCCGAAATCAACAATAATCCATTCCACTTTAATCATTACTAATAGCTTTTATTTTTTTAGGAGGATCGCAGGATCGGTGGGAACTTTTGATATTTTACTTGTAATAGTGCATTTAAGATCTATATAAATTTCAGCTCTATGCGAATTTTTGAAGTTAAATGCAACAATTAAATTAGTTAAGAGCACTAAAATTACTGTTTTTTTTTTTAATTCACAAAACACACTCAAAAAAGTTACCTTGACAGGGTCCTTTGTATGCTATGGGGATAGCCTTGCCTTTTCGACAGGCTTTTTCGCGGAGATGGCAAGCGCTGGGGTAAGTGAGTCCGTCCGATCCGCAGACCTGACGACGGGCAGGGGAGTGGGACACTTTTTGGAGCAATTCACACAGTGTGGAATTAAGTTTTGGTCCAGCAGGCATTGCTTACCGGATGGACAACTAATTTTATCACAGGAACCTGAAAGAGACATATACATATGTATATTATTTTGTTATGCACTAGAATGTTAAAAAGAAGGAAGACGAGTCTGAAGCAAATGTTGCAAGAACTTCCTAGATGTTACGTGGTACATTAGATTTGTTCCATTTGTAAATTAGTAAAGTAATTACTGTAGAAAAATCGAGAAAAAACGCTAAAAAACATGTTATCATCAATGTTACATATACTGCAGTGAACACAAATGGATTGTAATAATTTGTTGTTCTATAATTATTTGTGATAAATTAAACGTTCTCTCAGTATTCTTACTATTATACTAATTTCTATATTCGATAACTACAACTAAATAGGTTCCATTGGCAGCTGCAAACACCTAACGAGTCACAGCCTGACTTCGCCTCTTTGACTCCGTTGACTCCAATGATCAGAATGACTCCATTAGATCCAATATCCAATGCTCCCATTGACCCCAATCATCACAATGACCCCAATGATCCCGTGACTCCAATGATTCCATGACCCTAATGGTCCTATGGCCACAACAACAATCCATGCCTCCAACGACCTCAACAACCACATTGACCCCAGTGACCTAACGATCCAATGGATTCCACATTCCACTATGTGGATGTGGAAATCAATGTAATGTAAAATTAATGTAGAGACATAAAAATGTCATATTTCAGTTGCGTCACATCGCATAATCTTTATTTAAAATTAACCCCCCCCCCCCACCCCAATACTACCTATAGCAAATAACATGTATTCAATGAAATAAAAACATGATTTGGCTTGGTTTTGGCGAAGAACTTATAGAAGTGCCTCCGTCATGTATATATTAAAAATTATAGGTGTTTGACCCATGGATTTTGTAGAGATACCCCATCCACTCTCTCAACCCCCGTACCACATTAAACTTAAAGTATTTACACTTGCTGGCTCAGTTACATGTGTTGTACATATGTTTCAAATTTGAAGTGCGTATTTTGCATCGTTTGGAAATTAATGGAAAAAGTGAACCTATACATGGAAAAAGTGGATTAACCCCATTTATCCCCAAACCCCTTAAACGATTAGCTCAAAATATAATCAGCTCCAGACCTGATATTACTACACAAGTGCTCCGAATTTCAAGTTGATGCCTTGTTGCGTTCTCGAGTTACCATGTACCTACACAATAAAGGTTAATAGGCAAACATACGAGGTGTGGCTATTAAATAATCGAACTGCTGTCATGACACTTTTTATTCGTTACCAATTACAGTAGCAACTTTTTCGCCTCCTATGTGCTCCCCTTGGCGATCTCTACACCACTCCATACAACTTTTCCATTGTTGAAAGCAGTGCTGGAAGTCCGCTTCTGTCAGCTGGTTCAGAACCTCCGTCGCTTTTGTTTTAACCGCTTCCACACTTTCAAATCTTCTCCCCTACAGTGTCACCGTGTCTAACAAGCCTGGATCAGTGTCAATGTTGTTTAGAATGTCAGCGCAAATGTTCATTCTTGATTCCTTTTGCTCGGGAGTGAGGAGTTTTGGCACCATTCTTGCGAAAACTTTGCGCATTCTTTGTCGACTCTTGTTACTTCAGCAAACCCTCGGATGCTTAGACGACGATCTTCGCGCATTAATTTACCAATTTTTTTCAATATTTTCGTCCGTTTTTGACGTTGAGGGCCGTCCGGGGAGCGGATCGTCTTCGGTCATTTCACGTTCCTCTTTAAACCGTCTAAACCAGGATAAACATTAATTCCCGTACACTTATTTTAACATTGCATAAGTTTTTGTAAAAGTTTTCCCTAGTTTAACAAGCAACTTGAGATTAACCCGTTGCTCCATCTGAACACTTAACATTTTTTCGACGCGTCACTGGGGCGTAGACTAATTCAAACGACTGGTACAATCAAACTGAGCGACCCACTGGCTTGTCCAGCGAGCTCAGAGTGGGGAAAGTATCACCAAACACAGTTCTGTTCAAACTGTTCGCGACACGCTTGCAGCGTGCTGATAGCAGCATCAGATCGGTTATTTAATAGCCACACCTCGTAGAGACAGATGTGGAAGTGATTAAAATATGCAAATTTTTTGTGGTGGCACCTTCACAGACCTTACACGGCAATGGTTAAATATCACCTTATAGGGCAAAGGTTAAAATTATCAGGACACCACATGTAGTACAGTTATTAATATGTCATTAATTTAAATGAAAAAAAAAACTTACTTTGACAGATGCCCTTGTAGGCAACCGTAAGAGTATTAGATTTTCGACGACATGCTTGTTTCCTTAGCCTACATATGTTTCGATAGCTGCGTCCATCGCTGCCGCAGACTGGCCCTTTTGGTCGAGGCTTCCCTTCTTTGCACTTCGACGAACACACGCATTTCGGTATACCCTTTTCTAATTACGCAGTTCTTATCTACACCGCAGTCCACGTCTTCACACGAATCTGAAATCAAAGAAAAATTGATGAAAAAAAAAACGCCTAGTGTTACGTAGGAAAAAAATATTTTTCTATACACGAATATTTTTTTAATAATATGGATATACAGGGTGTCTCAAAAAGCAACGTGAAGTCGAAGGGAGTTATAGGTCAAGTCCTGACTGAACATGTGACAAGAAAAAATAGATGTAGTAATAGATAAAGTGTCTTGGTTCTCGAGATATAATTTTGTAAAATTAACTTTTGTAAAATTGGGGAAAAATCGCTTCCCTAAGTCAATATTTTTTATGCAATGGCTTCAAATGAAAGCCTAGTGTTTATTTTTTGTGTGTTATATTGAGCTGAATAATACACAAAAACACGGTACTCCTAAAAAAATGTTGATGGTAATTTTTAAAGTTTTGGTTATTATCCTCGCTTAAATTTGGCTATTCATCCTTTATAAAAAATATACATGATATATACAATTTACTGTCCTCAAAAGTTGACGCAATGCAGATTCCACAATGGCAATAAAATTAGTATCTTTAATTGTCAGAAAATAATTACAATTCGATAGAGAGTCGCCAATTTTGAGTCAATTTCCTTGTGTGTGAGTTTTACGAGGTGTGTAAATTAAGTAATGAGACTGGCAACGTAGCGCCCGATCTAGCAACACTGCGGAGATGAGACTTGGAAGAGCGGTAGATAAACATGTCCTTCACCTTCAGTAACAGGCCAATTGAAAAGTCCCCGGTCTGACACACAGATGGCGGTGCTAGTATTAAATCCATATGATTTTTTAGTTAGTACCAACCTTCAAACGATACGTGTAAAAATTTGACAGCAGTCCGACCATTAGTTTGTGAGATATTGCGTTGTGAGTGTAGCTACTTTTGTTATTTGAAAAGAGATGGAAAAAAAAGAATTTCGTGTGCTGATAAAATATTGCTTTTTGAAGGGAAAAAATACAGTTGAAGCAAAATCTTGGCTTGATGAAGAGTTTCCGGGGTCTGCACCAGGAAAATCAACCATCATTGATTGGTATGCTAAGTTTAAACGTGGTGAAATGAGCACCGAAGACAACGAACGCAGTGGACGCCCAAAAGAGGCTGTCACCGACGAAAACATCAAAAAAGTTCACAAAATCATTTTGAATGACTGTAAAGTGAAGTTGATCGAGATAACAGACATTGTGAAGATATCGTTTAAAGGATGAAATCGTTAAAAAACGGCCCCATTTGAAGAAGAAAAAAGTCCTGTTTCATCAAAACAATGGCAAAATTGCAT